GTTAGGTCGCACGACTTCCCGTCTTCACGCGAGGACTCACCGCGTCACCCCTCGGGCCTCTGTGCACCACTTCTCAATGCCTGCGTGGGAGTCTGCAATAGCAGGCCCTCTCAAGGACAGCTCCGCATCGCCTGCAACCTGGATGGAAAACTCCACCACCTCCCTGGCACTCCTCCGTTGCGTCTTCAAGGTCAGTTATTATAGTGTTTTGCGTCCACGTGTTCTGCCTTGACTGCCCTGAAAACTTATGAGTCTTGATTGTTTTTTTGTTTGTTTTTCTTTCTGGAAGAGTCCGTAATTATGTGCGTTTGTTAGCTCTTTCTTCCCTTTCCACTCTGCGTTGCGTCTCGGTCTACGGATTATTTCCCTTGTCCTTTTTATCCTTTTTATTCTTTCTAGTTCGCCGCCGCCCGCTATGCCTCCGGCCTCCCTTGCCACCTCCGATTATCCCTTCCAGGCTCGTTCTTTGGCGGTCGGGGGCTCACGGCTCTGCTGTCCCCCTAGGGGGAGGGAGCATTCAGCTCTACCCAGCCGCGGCGATTTTCCTCCCCTCTTTGCTTTTAACTTTTTACTTTTGCTGGAGGTCAGATTATGGTCTTACAAACTTGCAAACTTCCAGATAATCACGTATAACGGGAAAATCTTTTGCTCCTTATGCCTCTTGTCTCTCTTATCTTTGTCTCTCCTTCTCTCCCCCTTCAGTTGGGTCACTCTTACCTTTACAGTCCATGGACGGATTCTCTCACATGGGCGGAATCTCTGGAGCTGACAGGGGCTGGCAGGAGCTGACTGCTATTTCCCGTCTCTTTACCGTCTGTCCGCCATCCGCTGTATTGTAGATGTTTTCACTATACCTATACCTTTGATTATTTCTTGTCAGCTGTATCTCTCCCAGATGGACTGCGCGCTTTGTTGTTATAATTCCGGTTTCTTTTCTTTAAATCAGTGTGTTGGCGTTCGATGGAGTAGCGGAGGCTTAAAGCCTCCCACCAGATGTTGCGTCCTCCTGTGTTGCCTCGTTGCCGGGCTTCTTGGACCCCCCCTTGAGGGGGGAGCCACTCAGAGGCCGTCGGCCGATGGCACCAGGGTACCCCCGAGATCTCTGACCATCCACGGGTGAGGGTTTACCCCCCAATGTCGCGAATATCTGATTGATCTGAGACCTGATCCTCCAGCTCTCAAATCACGACCTCCATCTTGCGATCGCCAACCGGAAGCCCAACGCTGTTACATTTTTGACGTATCATGAGAAGACAGAAATAAATGGAAAATAGAATAAATTCTTTGTAAACCAGAGGGCAATAGGAATAGATCATATTCTAGATGAGCAATTCTCAACCCGGAGATTGGTGCCCCTGGGAGGAGGTGTCGTGAGGGGGGTGTCAGAGGGGTCACCGAAAACCATCAGAAAACACAGCATTTTCTGTTGGTCATGGGGGTTCTGTGTGGGAAGTTTGGGCCAATTCTATTGTTGGTGGGGTTCAGAATGCTCTTTGATTGTAGTTTAAGTATAAATCCCAGCAACTACAACTCCCAAATATCGAGGTCTATTTCCCCTAAACTCCAAAAGTGTTCACATTTGGGCATATTGAATATTTGTGTCCAGATCCATCATTGTTTGAATCCACAGTGCTCTCTGGATATTGGTGAAGTACAACTTCCAAACTCAAGGTCAATGTCCACCAAATCCTTCCAGTATTTTCTGTTGGTCATGGGAGTTCAGTGTGCCAAGTTTGGCTCAATTCCATCGTTGGTGGAGTTCAGGATGCTCTTTGATTGTAGCTTAAGTAAAAATACCAGCAACTACAACTCCCAAATTACAAAATCAATAACACCCCCCCCCCCAAACCCTACCAGTATTCAAATTTGGGCATATGGGGTATTTGTGCCAAATTTGGACCAGTGAATGAAAATACATTCTCCATTTACATTACGATTCATAACAGAAGTAAAATTACAGTTGTAAAGTAGCAACAAAAACAATTTTATGTAATTTCGAAGGCTTTTATGGCTGGAATCACTGGGTTGTTGTAGGTTTTTTGGGCTGTGTGGCCATGTTCTAGAAGCATTCTCTCCTGACATTTTGCCTGCATCCTTGGCAGGCATGCTCAGAGGTTGCCTGCCATAGATGCAGGGGAAACATCAGGAGAGAATGCTTCTAGAACATGGCCATACAGCCCAAAAAACCTACAACAACTCAATAATTTTATGGTTGGGAGTCACCATAACATAAGGAACTGTATTAAGGGGTCACGGCATTAGGAAGGTTGAGAACCACTGTACTAAATGAATAGATTCAATTAGGAAAGCCACAGCCCTGAGTCTGCAAGAGCAAAGCAGTGGTCTTGAGAATAGGGCAACTTGGAGGTCTTTCGTTCATGGGTCAAAATTGACTTGAAGGCAGTTTAGAACAAAGTTAATTGTTCCTGTATTTAAGTCCCTAACTACAGCTAGAGGGGAAACCACCAGAGGTTATAGGAGGATGCATACCAGACATGAATCACCAGTGCAATGGTGCAGAAAGAAAAGTTATCCTGGACTTCATTATATCTCAGGCAACATATTGTTTGTTTGACACATTTTTGTTGCGGGGTTGGGGAAGAGGGCATCCTTCATTTATTTTGTATAACGTGCTTTCAACTTCTTCAAAGGAAACATTCAGATGTCTACTTTTATGACTTTAATTGAATAGCTTTACATAAAACCCAGAAGCTTGTCAGCACTAGATAATTTCCTTCTCCTTGGAAAAGTCCGCCAGCTACTGCTGCTCACAAACGCCATTTGTTTCAATTGAGTTTTATGCCAGGTTCTCAGGCAGGCCACATTGAAATGTATGGATATTGCTCAGCAATGATATTTGGGAATGAGCACCCTGAAATTGTGGGCAATCCCAGCAACAAAACCACAGTTAGCAGCATTACTGTTTGCTTGATTTTCCATTTTAAAGCATAATGGTTGATGAGATCCTGACAAAAGGGAAGAAACATTATTACAAAGGACAATCAGGTTTTCAGATTTTAAAAACTCTTTAATCTTTGATACATATTTTCTAAGTATATAGCCTGCAATGATTTTGCAATCATTTCTTCACATGGAATCAATCCATCATAGCTATGGAGGAAAGTTAGTTATTGATTTCCCTTACTGCGTTGACACTCTTTTGGCTGCAGTCCACGTGCCAATTAAAGTGGGGTATTTAGATTTAAGCTGATTTATTTCCACTGGTTTCAATGGAATGGAACTGGACAGAAGCCAAGCACACCGGCTCAACTGATTTGTGAATCGGATGCCTCTTCCTGCAAAACACAACAGGCGCCTTGCCAGAGAGGGCAGCTGGCTTGCAGCCACCTCTAGCCTGGATTTGCAGTCAGAGCGCAGAAAGGTGTTTGCAAGCAGCTGCTCTTTGCTAGTGAGAAATATGGCTCTTTTGGACCGGAGCTCAGCCAGGCATAACTGGCTTTGGATAGGGAGCACAAGGTCAGATGGCATGAATGGCAGCAGACTGTTCTAGTCCCTTCGCTAAGGTGATACTGTCAAAACTTAGCTGTGTTTCCAAGTTCCCAGAGACCACGAAACGTCTAGACTTTAAGCTTATTTTCAGAGATAGGGGGCAGGTTGTTCAGCTTTCAGAGCCATGGTTTTCAAATGGCTATGTTATAAGACAAGCATGGGGGTAAAGTGCAACCTCTAACTATAGCTCAGGCTTGGGCAAACTTTTTAACTTGGGGGTCATATGACGGGCTGGAGGAGGGCGGGTGGGCAAGAAGGGAAGGAGTTTCCCCCAAGCTCCCTCCCTGCCCTTTCCTCCCCTTCTTCTTCTCTTCCAGAGGCAGAAAGTGAAGGAAATATGGAAAACGTTTTGATCTCAAAAGGGTTGGTCCTGGTCAGGATGAGATGGTGGAAACAGTGTCTCCATTAGACCCCATGTTGCCTACTCCTGATATAGAATCCTAGTGCTAGAAGAGACCCCCCAAGGGTCATCCAGTCCAACCCACTGCCATACAAGAAGACACAAACAAAGCACTTCCAATAGACAGCCTCTGTGGAAAAGCCTCCAAAGGAGGAGACCACCACACTCTGAGGCAGCCTATGTCACTCTCCAGGAAGTTCTTCCTAATCTTTCCAGTCGAATCTCTTTCCCTGCCATTAGAAACCACTGCTCCCTTTTACCCTGGTCTCTAGAACAGCAGAAAGTCAGTTCCCTCCCCCTCCTCAATGGGACACCCTTCTAAATCTTGAAATATGGTTCTCATGTTCCCTCTCAACCCTCTCTTCTCCCAGCTAAACTTCCTACTGGAGGAAAGGAGGAAGGAAAAAGAGAAGGAAGGAAGGAAGGAGGGAAGGAAGAGAAGGATGGAAGGAAGGAAAGGTGGAAGGGAATGGAGGGAGGGAAGCGAGGGAAGAGAAGAAAGACAAAAGGGAGGGAAGAAAGGAAGGAAGGAAGGAAGGAAGGAAGGAAGGAAGGAAGGAAGGAAGGAAGGAAGGAAGGAAGGAAGGAAGGAAGGAAGGAAGGAAGGAAGGAAGGGGAAAGAGAGAGGGAAGAAGGGAGGAAAGAGGGAAGGGAGGATGAAAGGGTGGAAGGGAAGGAAAGAAGAGAGGGAAGGAGGGAGGGAGTACGGAAAGAGAGAGGGAAGGAAGAAAGGATAAGATGGTGAGAGAGAGGAGGGCCAGAGAAAACAGCCCAAAGGGCCACATTCGGCCTCCAGGCCTGGGTTTGCCCATACCTGGTATAGCTGATAATAAAAATGGCTGAGAGTTGAAGTCCAGCATCTGGACAGCTGCTCTCTGCTCATTCTTGCTTTAACAACTTGATGCACTGAAATTATTAAGATGCTCTGCAATGCAAATTCAGCACAGCTGAGACTTCTGGAAGAAATCCTGATGCTGTAGGACTATTTCTGACACTCTGAATCCAGCAGGTCTTGATACTCCTGGTCAAGGAACAGGATCTAACCCAGGCATGGGCAAACTTTGGCCCTCCAGGTGTTTTGGGCCCAAAACACCTGAAGGGCCAAGGTTTGCCCATGCCTGATCTAACCTAACTGTTCACTCTTTCACCTCTACTTCCCTCAGAAGGAAGAGGAGATTTTATCTTCCAACTAGCCCAAGGAGAAAATGGAAGTTACTTAGAAATCAAGAGCACCAATAAGAAAGCATAACAGTGTAGCATAAAACAGTCTGTGAACTGATTTGTAAAGCTGGTTTGAGATCCAACATGGTGTGATGGCTTAAGCATTGGAACTAGAACTTCGGTGACCAGGATTCAGCCATGGAAATCCACTGGTTAACCTTGGTGATTCACATTCTCTCAGCCTCAGAGGAAGGGAAAGGCAATTGCCTTCTGAATAAATCTTGCCAAAAAAGTCCCTTGATTAAAAAGTTGTCAAAAGTTGGAAACATAAAAAGGTTGGTTTTGTTCTCACCAATGTTCTTGTAGAATGTTTGGGTATGACTGCAAAAACACTGACCAGCAACATCCCCTGACCGTTGCATATTGGGGACAACCAGTTTTGAGGGTGGCAATCTTTGCGAAGTCTCTCTCAAACCAGGTTAAAAGATTTGCTTCTAGAGGGTTTGCTGGAATGATTAGCTTGCAAACTGATTAGGTCTCTTATCCTGAGTCACAGCAGCAAAATAAGTTCCGATTGGCTCACAAGTTCTTGAAATCCTCCAGGGCTGTCCTGGCAGCATTACGACCCACAGCACCCATGACACCTCCTCCTAGGAAGGAAATTGAGACAATGAAGGAAAAGAGTGTCAGAAATATTAAAAATTAACTAGGTATTTTAATTACAGATATGTGAGTCAATCACTGAAAGGGTTAAATGGATGCAATGACTCAGCAAAAGCTGCAGTTCAATATAAGTAGGTATATCTGTAGCTTAGTATGCCTCAGTGTTAGTTGCCCTCAGTATGAGAGAAGCCTCTGTATGAGAAGGCCTCAGTATGAGACGGTACCAGTGTTAGTACGCCTCAGTTTGAGGTAGGCCTCAGAGTTAGGAGGTCTCAATGTGTGAGAGGCCTGGTGTGAGAAGCTTCAGTGAGAGAAGCCCCAGGTCAAAGACCTCATGTGTGGAGCTCCTGTGTAAGTTTGGTGTGAAATGAAGCTCAGTGAGAGTGAAGCTGTTTATCTGCATGAGAGATAAGCCCAGCGTGGAAGCAAAGAAAGAAGTATAAACAACTTTATTTGTGTTATGGAAACCTTGTTTTTATAAATACTGCAACCATATTATTTTGCTATAAAGAAAAGCCTCCTAAGGAGAATTAACATTGGTCTTTGTGTTTTTTGTTCTTTTTATGACTTTTGGCTACTGGTGCTGGGTCACGCTGATCCTAATAAGTTACTGTGCTGTACATTTATGAGGAGGGTCTTTTATTAATAGGCCCACTCGCTCAACAAGGAGTAAGCAGCTTGACTGCATCTGCATCCACGAACCCAGATGACAGAGCACATGGGAGCAAATTCCTGGGAGATAGGGCTCATGATTTACAGTACATCTTTCTGGATCTGATCACACAGTTCAACTTCCATAAGTGTATAAATATGGTTTATATCTGAGGCCTTAATATAACTCTGCATCTAAAGAAGTGGGTTTATATCCATGAAATCCCATGTTAAAATAAAAACCAGTTTGTCTGAAAGGTGTTGCCACTTTCCTTTTTTCTTCCCACTCCTCCTTTTCGTACCAAGAGCAGGACATACTCAACATCTGTACATCTACTCTTGACTTTGAGACAAGCTTTGGAGCAGCAACCTGGTGAGAACACTGCCCTGCTTCTGGGCTCTCTATCAACCCCCTTTACTTTAGATCTGGTTTTACTTTTCATTGTTGGGACACATCCTATCTAGCCACACAAGGCACGTACCAGGATGAGCTCCACTTCCACAGATGTACAGGCCTTGGATTGGAGACCGATAGCCAGAGTAAGAGGGCACTGGCCGGGCAAAATACAGCTGGTCTAAAGACATGGCTCCATGAAATATATTCTGAAAGAAAAGAGACAGAGCTAGCAGATCTCTCTGAAAACAGTGGACCCCGCCAACATCCCAATACAGCCAGTCCTAGAGTTACAAACAACTCAAAGTTAAGAAAGGGGTGAGACATCAGGAAGTGAGAGAAATCTGACCCTAGGAAGGGAAATTCATTCCTGAAAGAGTTATCCCTGGGAAAAGGTGTCTCCGCTGAAGCTTTATCACCAATCCTTATTTCCACAATAAGCCAACTTTTTCAAAATCCAATTGTAATAGGATCAGAAAGTGAGGCGAAGTCTTCTGGGCAGGGCCACAGTCAGAAAAGTAAACACACGGGGGTATTAACCCTTCCTTATGCTACCCAAAGATAGACAGATAGATTTGGCTAGAGTTATAATGCACCTGTTCCAACTTACATACAAATGCAACTTAAGAACGCACCTATAAAGAAAGTATGAGGACTGGAGTGGTAGGCAAGGTTACACTTCAAGTGTAAAGATCATTTGTAATTTCTGAGTTCTAAGGCATGATAAGTTTTAGCACATAGGGCCAGTTCACAAAACTATTTCACTGTGGAAGGGGAGGAGAGTGAAAAATTACCTGGCCTGACTTATCACTTCAGCCATCAGATGCTTCTGCAAGGCTGCAGTACAAGGGCTTTGCAGGGAACTATTCCAAACTAGAAGGGTCTATGGTAATGATTCTCAACAAATACTTACCCCACCAGGTAGACCAAAGATCCGTTCGAGGTCTGGAGGTGTTAAAACTTCCCTACCAATGACTGAGGCTTTGAATCCAGGTGCGTAGGCTTCAATAGAATCAAATACTATAAGCAGAAGAGATATTCCCGAAGAAGAAATAATGAGAATTTAGATCAAATATCATTTGCCTAAGATGCCCCCGGTTGATGCAATGGGTTAAACCCTTGTTCCGGGAGGACTGCTGACCAAAAGGTCAGCAATTTGAATCCAGGGAACAGGGTGAGCTCCCGTCTGTCAATTCCACACGAGAGAAGCCTCCCACAGGATGGTAAAACATCCAGACATCCAATGGGCAATGTCCTTGCAGACTGCCAATTCTCTCACAGAAGAAGTGACTTGCAGTTTCTCAAGTTGCTCCTGACACTTTCACACACACACAAAACCTAAGATGTCCCAACATTAGAGTTCCATTAAAGGCTGAAACATCCTGCTGGAATTCAAGCATTCTGCAATCACAAAGATTTAAAATATGCACATATCCTAATTAAATCCTTCTGCAAGATTCCGATTCCAACCAACCTTAAGTAGACCCATGTAAGTGTACCAATTGTTCTTTCTAAATACATAGAATGCTAGATGGCCTTCCTGAAAGTTCAAGAATTTCCCCCTTCCAGATGCTGTACAAGACTTTTTCATCCTCAGTCAAATAGTCATACCTTGGTCAGCATAGTCATCACACTCCTGTTGATCCCATTGCTTCCCTCCAGCCAGAGTATATGGGGTGTACTGAGTGAAGAGCGAGACCACGTGGCAGCCTGGGGGAGCCAGTGTGGGGTCCAGGGCAGATGGAATGCACAGTTCAATCATGGGCCTAAAAGAACAAGTATGACACTTATAGCTGGCCTGTTAATGGGGTCAATGATCCAGATGTATTCACCCTGCTACCCTCCAGTGTTGACATATAGCTGCCATCAATGAGCCAGATAGGGAGTGATGGTGGTTGTGGTCCAATCTGGAGAATGCCAGGTTAGTATAGTTGATTCAGAACAATCTCAGTGTAAGATTTCTTACACCGGCATTCATAATGTTAGCCATTCCATTTATGTTTTTATTATTATAATTGTTCTGGCATTTTGAAATAGGAAGCGAAGGTGGTCAAAAGTCTGGGAACAACTTTTTGGGAGATTCAAAGCAAACAAAGGGATAACACAACAGGCTAATACTGCCCTTCTTACATGATAAACCTACAAAAACCTACTGTCGTATTCCCGAGCAGGAACACCTCTGACCTTAAACATCACACCAGCTTGGTAAAATCAGCAAGCAGTTTATTGTAGAATGTATGTAGGCAAAGCAGTAAAAAATAGCAAAACAGTAAAAGTCCAAAATCCAAACTTCAAAGACAAACCAGGTTCATAAACAGTACATAGAAATCCATGAAGCAAGGTACTTGAAACCATGAGACAAAACAGCAGGAAACTCCTGGGCAGAAATTAAGCTTGGCAACAACTTGGTACATTTGAAAGCAAGACCATGATAAAGTAATAACGTTGACTTGACTGAGGAAACTGTCTCCCATGAATCATTATAAACCCTTTCCAGAACTCCAAACTGAAAGGAAAGCATTCTTCTTGACGTTCCCACTAGATAACAGTTTGTTATCTTTCTTTCGCTGTAGGCAAACTGAATGCCTGAGTCTCTGAAAGTTCTGCCTCGGTTTACAAAAACTGTGCTTTCTGTCTAAGGTTTCACTATCCTCTCCCTCTGCACTGAGCAAATCACTCTCAGCATTATTTTCAAACAGTTGTTCTGAGAAAAGCAGTGAAAGGTCTTTCCCAGGAATGTGGCCTTGCTCAGCCCTCTCTTCTGAACTTATCTCCGGCCCAAGCAAACTCTCATCCCCAGGCCCATCATCAGGAACACCATACCCATTCCCATCATGCGGATCAACATGAACATCATTTCCAACAAGAACATCATTCCCATCATGAGCATCAGCATGAATATCAGACACAATCACAGACAGAACAGGCTCACATACAACACCTACTGAGTAACCACCATGAATAAGAAACTCACAGTTATTAGAATGTAAGTCTTCATGAAAGCAAAATGGCAGGTTCTTACACAAAAAGGAGACATTACCAGATCATGTCAATATTTGCAAAACAACAAAAAATAATTAGGGCGATCTCTTTCTCCATGTGAGGAGGAACCCCCCCCCCCCCTTATAAGGACTGAGAATGGTCCATGGAAATGGAAGGGTGACTATTGTTTGGAATGGGAAGGGACACTTTTCTGATCATAAACACTCTACGCTGTAAAAGTTATTTCAGGTCCAATTTGCTATTTTCAAAAAATAGGGATTGATAAGCTTTGGTTTTCCAAAGCTACCACTCCCACAATCCCTCAATGTTGGTGAGAGCATCAGGGTTCCGAGCACTGAAGCCCAAATCATCTGGAAATTAAAGTTTCCTCAGTACTGCCATAAAACTAATATGGTAAACCTTGAATAATGAATCATGTATTTGCAGTTATGAGGACAGATGTAGCCTAGCGAACAAAGTACAGGACTGGGGATATAAGGGTCAGGACCTATTAAACTGTTGTCAGACCATAAATCCTCATCAGTGAAGCTACAGCAGTAGCCATGGGGAAGCAGAGGGTAGTCCTTCTCCAGGAGGACAAGGACAGCTGGATACTACTTAAGCATACCCCAGTGGCTAGTCAATGGTTAATACCTAAAGCTATGCCTAGGAGCTGTCCATTTTTGTGTACCTGGGGCAAAGGTGCAAGACAGCACTGGATAGCTCCTTGCACAATATGCAATAATGTATTAAGGTTAGAATCATCGAGTTGGAAGAGACCACAAGGGCCATCCAATCCAATCTCCTGTCAAAGCACCCTTGACAGATGGCCATCCAGGCTCTGCTTAAAAACATCCAGAGATTTTTAAGAAGGTTTTTAAGAAGAGGCAGTATATTCTAAAGCCGAACAGTCTTACCATTATGAAATTCTTCCTAACATTTAGGTGGAATCTTTTTTCCCAGCAATTTGAATCCACCCAATGCTGTGTTTTATTGACTGTTTTAAGTCAGTAGGGGTTTTATATGATGTTATTATATAATTTGCTTATGTGGACCTTATTGTCATTGTGTTATTTTGTTTATGTACTTTGTTGTATTGTATGTTTGCACTATTGCCTGCTCTTGTGAGTCCACCTGAGTCCCTTCGGGAATTGGTGGCGGGATACAAATAAAGTTATTATTATTATTTGAAATACAACAAGATGAGTCCACAGCAAACAAGATCACTCTGCGGCTGTTGTATTGGATCACACGTTGGACACTTCCCAAGTGTCTAGGACTGTGTGATGTATTGGTGAATAATGCGTACAGATCCCAGTAAGGTGGCCTTTTGCAGCAGGCAGATGGTAACTTTGTCAGTGCCAATTGTGTTTAAGTGCAGGCCAAGGTTTTTAGGCACTACACCCAGTGTGTCGATCACCACTGTAATCATCTTGACTAGCTTGTGCCAGAATCTTTGCAGTTTGATCTTTAAATCCTCATATTGTGTCAGCTTTTCCAGTTGTTTCTCTTCAATCCTGATGTTGCCTGGAATTGCAACATCAACGATTCATAGTTTGTTTTTTAACACATTCGTGAGGTCAGGAGTATTGTGCTCCAAAACTCTGTCTGTCTGAATTTGGAAGTCCTAGAGTACTTTGACGTGTTCATTCCCTGTAGCTTTTTCCGGCTTGTGATCCCACCAGTTCTTTGTCACAGGCAGATGGTATTTGTGGTACAAGTTCCAATGAATCATCCGAGCAGTGGTGTTACGCCACTGCTTGTAGTCTGCCTGCGTGATCTTCTTGCAGCAGCTGAGGATGTGATCTATTGTTTCATCTGCTTCCTTGCAGAGTCTACACTTGGGATCTGTTGTCAACTTTTCAATTCTGGCTTTGATGGCATTTGTTCTAATGGCCTGTTCTTGGGCTGCCAGAATCAGGCCCTCCTTTGTCTCCTTTTTCCAAGTTCCATTTGTGAACCACATCCATGTTTTTTCTTTGTCAATTTGGCTCTGAATTTTTCCTAGGAAGTATTCGTGGAGAGCCTTCTTTTGCCAGTTTTCTCTTCTGCTCTGCATTGTGTTTTTATGGTACATTTTTCACATGCCCATGCTTGATATTGTCCAACTGTAGTATGTCCAGATATTTATAGGTTTCAGGTTGATTGCATTTTATGGTTTGTCCATTTGGTATCTCTATGCCCTCACTGAAGGGAAGGCTGAGCGAAGGAAGATAGATGCTTTTGAACTGTGGTGTTGAAGGAAAGTTCTGAGAGTGCCTCGGATCTCCAGAAGATCCAACCAGTCCGTACTTCAGGAAATAAAGCCCAACTTATCATTGGAGGGAAGGATATTAGAGGCAAAGATGAAGTACTTTGGCCACATCATGAGAAGAAAGGAAAGCTTAGAGAAGACAATTATGCTTGGGGAAAATGGAAGGAAAAAGGAAGAGGGACCGACCAAGGGCAAGATGGATGGATGGCATCCTTGAAGTGACTGGATTGACCTTGAAGGAGCTAGGGGTGGTGACGGCCGACAGGGAGCTCTGGCATGGGCTGGTCCATGAGGTCACGAAGAGTCGGAAATGACTGAACGAATGAATAACAACAATGCCCTTGCTGTGAGTAATTTTTCCTTTCTTTAATGCCACTGTGGCACATTTGTCTAGGCCGAACTCCATCATCATCATCACTACAAGATTAGTACACAGCACACAAGATCACTATGCTGGCTGTTGTATTGGATCACACATTGGACACTTCCCAAGTGTCTAGGATTGTGTGATGTATTGGTGAATAATGTGTGTAGATCTGAGTAGGGTGGCCTTTTGCCTGACAGATGGTAATTTTGTCAGTGCTTATATTATTATTATTATTATTATTATTATTATTGCTCTGTGTCCTAGTCTCCAGAGAAGCAGTAAACAAGTCTGCCCCTTCCTTAAAGTGACATCTTTTCAAATATTTAAACATAGCCAACATGCCCCCTCTCAGCCTTCTGTTGATACTACAGGTTATCCCAGCACCCATCACCAACAGGATTTCGTCCATTACGTAACATACCAGCTGCACCATCATATTTCTGAAAGCAGAATCCTTAATACCTAATAAACAAATCTCATGTACATTTTACTTGGACTATTAATTTCCTTTCTGTACAATTTATACTGTAGCCGGTTGGGTGTCAAGGTGAATTACAGGAGGAACTGTAAATTATAGTGTGTGCACATAAAAGTGCTGAATAAATGATAATAATGAAAGAGAGAAAGAGCAGGGAGGAGATACTAGCAAAATCCTTTGTTCTCGCAGAGAGTCTGCAATGGAATATCATGCAAAATCGTCACAAATAGTCAACTGTGCAGGAGGCACAGTCAAATGTTTCACTACACTCATCCCAGGGGCAAAAGCCTGTCAGACACACCAGTCTAAAATAATGGATAAAACCATGTATATCTGTCTGCTCACGAAACAGAATTTCCCAAAGCATCCACAGGATTATAAATATACCAGATGTGAACTTGACAAAATCCATTTGTTTTTACTGGAAGATGGGCTTTATCTCATTAGACCAGGATTGGATCATGATAAAGGCTTGAGACTAGGAAAACTGCAAAGCGATACTTGTGTGAACAATTTGGGATTCTGCACTGGTCAGTTTTACATGCGCTCTCTTTTTATAGCTGGTCTGGGCCTCGGCTCTGACAATAGGGAGGGAAAGCAATCTAAACAACTCTGATGTATGAATTCAATACAATAACCAGGAGAGAAAAAAAGATGGGCCTGGATAAGCAGATACATTTATATAAAGAAAGAGCAAACGAAAAATATTTTACTTTTTAACACTAGAAACTGCAAGACTAGCCACAGACTATGTATCCCTCAATCCATGTTTCCTCCCAAGAGCTCCCAGTGCATTTACAGTGTCAAAAAACAAACAAACAAACAAACAAACAAAACAACACCCCACCCCTAGGCAAAAAATGACATTTTTCTATTACTCAATGTTTCCAGGAAAGGTGTTGGAGAAATAAACCTGAAAAAAGCCCTACAAACCAAAGCCAAACAAACAAAACCACGGAATGGTAGAATAAGTCCATTTGTTTTTTTGTTTTTTTCTATTTTTTCATTTCCCCCTATTTTTGGGACTGGCATAGTTTTTGGCATGTGCTCATGGCAACAATCTGGCCCACGGATCTGCTAATGCTGTCCACCCATAATGATTATGTTGTCTGCCAACCTTCAGCCTCTGGAATAAATGTAGTGCAGACATTATCATGTGGATGTGCCCCTATGTGGCTGGCTTGCAACTGGTCTGCTTAGTCCTCAATTGAAAAATCCCTGAAAATCACAAGATTTGACTGATGCCTGCTCTCCCATCTCATCTTATTCATATTATGATCATTTGTACTTCAAGTCAGCAGATCACTAACTTTAGAGCCTGACAATGCATTCTGTTTTTCCTAGGACTGGAAAGCGCATAGGCACACAAAAAAGCTACATATACAGAAAGATAGAGAATGAGAGGTATAAACACATTTTTGACTCTTACAAAACAAAAGACACAAGGCACCAACCTAATGCTGCAGGTTGCACATTCTTGATCTAAGTGGATAGTGTAATACACCCAACCTCTCTTTTTACACTGATGGGAAATTGATACTCGGGTCAATGCATATTTAGGTGCCCATCACTGCCTGAAAGCTATAGGAAAGCTGTTCAGCAGAACCCAAGGACTATGATCTGGTCATATCTATTGTAGATGTACGGTACCACAGGCAAAAGCTTTAAGCCACTCTACTTCTTTCTTTTGCTCCTCTTGCCGAGTCCAAGATAGGGCAAACTGTAGGACATGTATCAAACTCAAGAAATGTGGGCAGAATTTGGGACACCATGTTATTTTATATGGCCCTTCAGATGCTGGATTACAACTTCAGTATTCCTCATTAGATATCAAGTTGTGATACAGTAATATCTGGAAGGCTGCAGTTTCTTCTGTTTAGTCAGGCTGGTGGGGTTTGAATTTAGATACAAGGCTTGTGGGTATGTTGTCTATTGCAACCCAGCCGCCTACTTGATCCTGGATTTGTCTCTGTTTTGCACTATCCCATCTGATCTGTAAATGCTGGGTTATCTGTAACACCCCCACCCCGTTTCCTCCACATTCCTTTCACAGTTAATGTCTGGCCGATTCTCATGAGAATCACTCCCTATTTCCCCGACAACAGATCTAACCAAAACATTCCCAAAATACACTTTCCCCCACAGAAACACCAGGCTGAACTAGAAAATCCTCGTCCTCGTCCTCAGAGGATTCACAGGCTTCAACATTGTTTGACTTTAAAATGTCTTTTAACCTCTTCCCCAACCTTATAATGTCTTTTAACCTTTCCCCTCAACCTCAGAGCCACAAGTGCTATTGGGTTCAATTCCCATTATCCCAGTCCACATGGCAGATGGGAGTTGTTGTTTGATAATATCTGCGGATCCAAAATCAGTTAAAACTAAAGAGCACCAGCAATTATGTAAAGAAGTTGACCCTCTGTATCCATGAATTCCACAGCCCTTGGAAGGCAACCATAAGACTGATGTAAGCCTTGATGAAAATGAGTCTGACACCCCTGCAATAATGCATCTCCTCTTCTATCCATTTGTACTTACCGGGAAGATGGCCTCCCTTTGCAGGCATCCTCAAAGGCCTGGTGCACAGTCTCTATGTCTTCGCAATTGAGATGAATGGAGCTTTGGTGATGAGGTGAGGGGTGACCATCACTGCTGTTTGGGGCTGCTAGGAAATTGGGCAACCGATCTACAGCCACTGTGGAGACAAGCTGCACAAGGTGAGGCCACCAAATAAAGCACAGCCTGCCTGCATCTTAGTCTCCATGTCACAGTCACAGATCATACTTTTCACATCCAAGTTATTAGAAAGCATATGGATTTAATTGCACCAATTTAGCATTTCTTTAGAGCCAGATGGTGCAGCTATTGGGAAGATCACACAAGTCGGCAAATCTGAGTGTATGCACCTTTGTCTTTATTGGATATGTAGCTATTCCTAGTGCCAAGCAAGCAGTACGGCTGGGTGAAAGGAGGATAGGTTTGCATCAGTGCTCCATTTTTGGAAAGCCTACATAAGATACTTAGGGGGATGAAGAAGTTTCAGAGAGCAGAATATAAAGAAAGAGCTACAGTTCAATGGGACAGTCGAGGTACTGCTTGTGGAAGGACTTGTGTTCATTGTCTCCTGACAGAACTGGAAACAATTCTAGCTTGAAACCTGGAAAACTGCTATCAATCAGTGTTGGCAATACAGAGCAATGAGCCCCCGGTGGCGCAGTGGGTTAAACCCCTGTGCCGACAGGACTGAAGACCGACAGGTCGCAGGTTTGAATCCAGGAAGAGGCGGATGAGCTCCCTCTATCAGCTCCAGCTCCCCATGCGGGGACATGAGAGAAGCCTCCCACAAGGATGATAAAAACATCATATCATCCGGGCGTCCCCTGGGCAACGTCCTTGCAGACGGCCAATTCTCTCACACCAGAAGCAACTTGCAGTTTCTCAAGTTGCTCCTGACACGACAAAAAAAACCCCAAAAAAACAGAGCAATATGGACCAATGGTATGATGTAGTATAAGGAATCTTCTGAGTTACTAAGTTAAGAGTATGAGTCTGAAGGAGGAGAATGTTATTCATTCTACTAAAAAAAGGAACATGTACAAAGGCTTATGTTTTTCCACAATGGACCTATTATTATGCCCTCATTACCTCAAAAAATACCATCATGCATTATTCGCTGATACATCTCACAGTCCTAGACACTTGGGAAGTGTCCGACGTGTGATCCAATACAACAGTCAGCAGAGTAATCTTGTCTGCTGTGGACTCATCTTGTTGTGTTTCAAATAATAATAACATTCTTTATAATGTATTACTTCCAAACTCTGGAAATATATCAATCCATGCACACATGTATACAGTATACACCTTTTCTGTAAATTATTTTGAGTATTCACAGGGCAAAAGGGGGATTCAAAAGTGTTTTATATACATAAATAAGAAAACATATATGCAAAATATCTTCACAAAGACCACCCAAAATATCACAACATAGTCAACAGTTTTCAATATTTCCAGAGCTCCTTTTTCTGGGAGAAATGTACAAAAAGTGGAGGGAAACAAGGAGGAAAGCACATTGCCCTACACCTTTCATATAATCCAGTCGTTCTCAACCTTCCTAATGAATATAGTTCCTCATGTTGTGGTGACCCCCAACCATAAAATTATTTTTGTTGCTACTTAAATTTTGCTACTGTTATGAATCATAATGTAAATATCTGATATGCAGGAGGTATTTTCATTTTCTGGACCAAATTTGGCACAAATACCTGATATGCCCAAAGTTAAATACTAGTGTGGTTGGAGTGGGATTGATTTTGTATTATTTTTTTTGTAAATTTGGGAGTTGTAGTAATTTGGGATTTATAGTTCACCTACAATCAAAGAGTATTCTGAACTCCACCAATGATGGAATTCAACCAGATTTGATACACAGAACTTCCATGGCCAACAGAAAATACTCTAAAAGTTTGGTGGGCATTGACCTTGAGTTTTGGAGAAGTTCACCTACATCCAGAAAGCACGGTGGACTCAAACAATGATGGATCTGGACCAAACTTGGCTCAGATACATAATATGCCCAAACGTGAACACTGATGGAATTTGGGGAAAATAAACCTTGACATTTGGGAGTTGTAGTGGCTGGAATGTATAGTTCGCCTATAATCAAACAACATTCTGAACCCTACCAACAATAGAATTGGGCCAAACTTCCACACAGAACACCCATGAGCAACAGAAAATACTGTGTTTTCTGATGGTCTTTGCCGACCCCTCTGACACCCCTTGGGCCCTCCCAGGAGTTCTGACCCCCAGGTTGAAAAATGCTGGTATACTCCATCTTAATTGGTTTCAGTATAGGCATCGGCTTAAGTGTGGATTCTATACTGCACACATCTGAATCCTTTAAATCCCTTTTAATAATATTCATTAGTAATTATCCTGTTCCCTCTGTTGGCCACACATGATACTTCAATTTTCTTGCATCTGCTACATTCTATGAGAATGTTTAAAGATTTTTCCTTTTTTTTCCTGCTACATACGTTTGTGATTTTCTTTCCTTTAACTAAGCACAAACAAATCATAAAACCTTTACTGTGGCTCGGGGTAGATTCAAACATTACTTTTTAAAACCCACATGGCGCCTCTTCCTTTATTGACTGTTTGCAAGGCCGTGGAAACTTATGAGCCAACAGATACCTTTGTGGGGAATTTTATGACCATTTAACCATCCTGCAATACTCACCATTGATCTTGGTGACTGGAGAACGTGTGTCAAACTGGGAGATTCTCTGGACAAACTCTGCAGGTAGCGACTCCTAGAAAGGAGAGCAAGAGATAAAAGAATTGAAACAGCCCAGAAGCAAATTAAAGATTAATCTGCTTTAATTCTATCTCTCTCTCTCTCTCTCTCTCTCTCTCTCTTTCATGCCTTGTCCCATAGAGAAGATATTTTAAATTACATTTGATTCGTGAAGGGGACAAAATAAAATACACAAACAGGCATTTTAGATATATAAAACTACCAAAATTACACAATGGTACACGTCAAAAACTAAAAAATTCCCACTCTCGCTCTGATGGTTGTTATCACTTTACTGCCTTTACACAACAGCATAACCACACTTCTGCTTTAGGCAACTCTAGTATTTTATGTATCCCAACATTGAAAAATGTTTCATTATTGTTGTGAAAAGGTAATAAAAAGGTCCAAATCTTAATAAGTATTGCCAATTTACCCATTTATGCTATTTCATAGAGTGTCATTGGCCTATATCTTTGTGTTAGGATAATTTATTCCTTCCATCTCTGTGCATATACTGTTGGAAATAGCAACCTTCTTCAAGCTTCCACTAGTTATTTGTTATATATATAATGCAGATCGCTTACTGCATTGTATGTGTGTGATCAGATCTGAGACTATTCCAATCTTAGACTCCATTTTAGAAGTCAGTAGAAATAGATTGGAGAGATGCTTTAGACTATGGACTGTTGATTATAACAAAGATGCCCTGTGTTATTTCCACAAAGAATCTACTTCAAATCCTATCTGTAACTGGATTGATATGCAATGGACCTGTATGCTGAATACATGAAGTTTGTGAGTAAACCAACTATGTCATTTTAATGAAGACTACTTTATATTTGGTCTGCTGAAAGCATGATTTAAACCAAGATCTTTAAGATAGAGTAGATGTTTTGGGGCACTGAAAAGAATACTTCTGAAACTCTGCTGGTTTTTTTTTTGTGCATTGGCATATATTTATTCCTAACAGTTCAAAGAGATATCTAGGTATATCAGTCTAACAGCTGAGAAACCTAAGGCATGGGCAAACTTCAGCCCTCCAAGTGTTTTGGACTTCAACTCCCACAGTTCCTGGCCTCAGGCCCTTTCCTTTTCCCCCTCAGCCGCTGAAGTCCAAACACCTGGAGGGCCGCAGTTTGCCCATGCTTGGGAAAGGTGGACAAATCTTCTGCTCTAGTTTAAGCAACTTCCAGTGTCATAGGTAAACATGTTATTTATTTAAAACATTTATATTCCACCCATCTCACCCTGTAGGGGACTCAGGGTGGAGCACAACATATATATGGCAAACATTCAATCCCAGGACATAAAACCATAAATATATACAAACATTAAAATCACTTACATCCACTTTAAAACCAGTTGCTTAAAAACCATCTCAGAACATGATTCTATTATTGCTCATTGCACTGCCCCAAAGGCTTGGTCTCACAGCCAGATCTTTACCTTCCATATTCCAATGGATTTGCAAGAGAGAAAGAGACAGGCTTTGCAAGTTGAGCATATACATTAATGCCAGTATCAAGGATGAAATGGCAAATCTAGCAACTCCTGTACAGGAAATTAAATTCATCTTTTTCAGCTTAGTCCAAATAGAAGAGAAGAAGAAAAGATGTGACACCTAGGGCAACAGTCATCTCTATGTTCTAGTCTTCCAGCACAACATCCAGCACACTAGGGCAGCAACATATGAGTTGCTGTCCTAGTACCCCACTCAACCATTTCCTTTCTTGGCAAACCTTAGCCCCTTGTCCTTCAGCAAAGAGAGCAAAGAGACCTCCTCCAAATTTTTGCAACCTCTTGACATCTTACTCCTTTGTAGGGAAGGAATTAATTACAACAGAGTGCAGATTTAGACTTCTCAAAAGTGTCTTCCTGTGAACTTTCTATACAGACAAAAAACACAGCTTACCTGAGGGGTTAATTCTAAAAAGGTAAGTTGTGGAGATGCATTGGAGAGTACCAGGCGGCTCTTCACTTCGGTTCCATCCTCGAGACAAACACCTCGCACCTTTCCATCAGAACTCTGAAGGATCTGAGCAACTTTCTGTTGGGTCAAGCATAAGATAAACAAATGAATATGGCTTCTCATGTGGCCAGGACCAATCTGAGTTTGAATAAAAGGGTAGTCCTACCTGCCCCCCTTGGGAAGACATCTGAGGTGCTAAGCATAACCTCTGTTTCAACCACTCAATTTCCCCCCAAAAACCACAGAGACAACAACAGCTGGAAGTAGGGCTAGCACAGTTAAAAGGCTATGGTGAGAGAATACTATTTTTTGCTTTAAAAAGATACGTTGGGTTTTATCTCTGGACTGCACAAGTTTCTTGTGTCATTAAGTTTCCAGACCTCAATGAGTAGCTAGGCTAGAGATGAGATTAGGCCGAGGGATTCCTCCACCCAAATTCCTATGCATGTTTCCCTGACGGGGCTTTGTGTTCACTTTTCATGTCAGTCACTGTCTCCTCCCCATTTGATGATGCAGCAATGGAATTCTGTGAGAGAACTTCCTCTTTAAGTTTTATTGCCCTGGGTGGACCATATGGTTTCCATTGTCTCTTCTGCCTTTTTTTCTTTCCAGTAAGGATGCATTTTGCCTCTCTCCAGGTAAAATGTAGCTGCATGGATTTTTTTTTTACTTTTTACCTCCTTTAGACGATAAGATTTAGTAAGCTAGTTAGCTCCAAGATCTATCAAGAATATATATTTTCTATCAAGAATATATATTTTTAACTTCAATACATATTTTTGAACCTAAAGTTCTGACTCTGCAATCCTGATTCATCTAAGATATAGAAAGCTATCCTAGTTTGCCTCCACTAAGTTTCTGCTGGTTGTGAAGTTTACTTCTGATACTCTGTTATATTTTTGGTAGAATCACCCCAACTGAGGGTTATTTGAGCCTAACATCTCAGATTCCCCAACAGGATATAGGCAGAATGAGGTGTCTAATTTACAGATGGTTCTCAGTATTAATGGATTTTGCATCTACATTTGCATCAACTACCCAAAGATTGAAAATACTATAATGCAAAATTTTGATATTGCTATTTTATGTAAGGAACACTATTTGAGTACATCACTGTATAGTAGGGCTTGACCACTGATTCGGGTATCCATGGAGAAGTGGGGAAGGAGGTGGGCAAGCCTAGAGTCAAACCCCAGTGTATACCAAGGGGCTTCTGTACTCGAAGAACATTATGTTTATCGTTTAAGATATTTTCTTTTTCTGAAGGGAAATACACCAGTCTTTGCCTTGTTGTGGTCTAAACATGCCAGCACCCTTTCTTTAGCAACCCTCTCAGGTTAAGGGAAAGTCTGTTGTGCTAAAAAAACAGCACTATGTAACAAAATTTATAAAAATCTGTTCCTGGTTTGAAAGTGTTATTTCCTGTTTAATTGTGCAGTACTAACTTTGAAAGTAGTTGTTATACTTCAGAAACTTCATTTTTGTGACTGCCACAAACTATGTTGAATTGGTTGAGACTCTATCAGATATTTATTGAGCCCCCGGTGGTGCAATGGGTGAAACCTTTGTGCCGGCAGGACCGATGACTGACAGGTCAGAGATTCGAATCTGGGGAGAGCATGGATGAGCTCCCTCTGTCAGCTCCAGCTCCCCATGTGGGGACATGAGAGAAGCCTCCCACAAAGATGGTAAAACATCAAAAACATCTGGGCATCCCCTAGGCAATGTCCTTGCAGACAGCCAATTCTCTCACACAAGAAGCGACTTGTAGTTTCTCAAGTCGCTCCTGACACATACACACAAAAATTCATTGAAAAACTGTAGCAAAATGTGTTGCAGGATATTTAAAAAAAAACAATTTTTTTTGCAGTTTAATAAACTTGCCCCATGTTTTTATGAGAGAACATTTGCAACCCAAGGACAAAAATTATGTTACATAGTATAATGAGTTAAAATACACACCTTCACTTGTAACACATTACTTTTTAAGTAATTGTGTTACCAATAGCATTACTGTTAAAAGCACCAAGTCAACTGATAATCCTGTTATTTGGGAAATTGTCATGGTAATTACATTTACTAGTAATTCTCAAAATATTGCTTTGGATGGCTAGTTGTGTGAGGAAGTGGTGGTAGCCAGTTTTGTTTTTGTGATGCTTTTAAAAAACAATAATTAAGCATTAACTAAACATAACCTATGACTAATAAGCCACAGAGTTACTTTTTATTAAGAGTGCCAAGTAATGTTTACAAGTTACTTTTAAAGTAAAACATTCCAAGTCTGGGTCCTCTGCACATTAAACTGTCTGTGCTGAGGACTGAATCACCCACCTTTTCAGTGAAGATCTCAGCTCCGAGTTCAGTTGCAGCACGGGCCAAGGCCTGGGAAAGGGCTCCCATGCCACCAGTCACATAGCCCCAGGCTCCTTGCCGACCCTCTATCTGACCCATTACATGGTGCAGCAGCACATACCTAAAAGAGAGATTAAGGATTAGGCAAGAGAATACCATTAGCAAAGCTGGAAGTTCCCACAACACAAGGATATTTGCAGAAAATTCTGTTCACATGCAGCTGGGCTGGCTTGCCTCATCTTTATAAGACATAATTCATGATGGTATTTATTGCACTATTTAATAGCCCACAACTTTTGTCTGACAAGAGTTTCAAAACATTAAAAGCAACAAGAACAGCAACAAAACAAGAAATTCTTATGCATGGTATAACACACTGAAAATTGCGGCTTCCATTTTCCAGTGTCCACATGTGGATCTATGCAGATAAGGATGAGGACAAACTTAAGGGGAAAGGTACAAGTGATGCTGAATTGGGTCGACAATTGTTTTAAACTACAACTCCAAACAGTGTTTCACCATTGGCAATGCTGGCTGAGCTTCTAGCAGTTGACATCAAAAAAATCTCCCAGTTCAAGGTTGCAAAATGGCAAAGATAACGGAAAGCTTTGCGCCCCTAACAGTGTCCTTACCCACTACCTGGTGTGTGGGGACTAGACATGGCACCAATCACAGCATCTGTTGCCAGTGTTGCTTTCAAGGGCTCCGACTCGAACCAGAAATCCAAGATCTGCAAGAAGAGACATAAAGAGCATGTTCTGTATGATATTGCTGAAAGAACTTACCAATTCGTTGCCCTCACCCACACATTTGAGAGCATCCTCCACCGTCATTTTTGTTGGCATCTATGCACACACAGTTTGCAAAAAGATCATTTTGAGAAGAGATAGCCAACTTCTCTTTGGCCAATTAGTGCATGTTGCAGAAGAAAAAGAAGACGACAGAAGACACTAGATACATTTAATGAGCTACACATTCCAGAGGAATAAAGCAATGGGATAGAAAATGATTTAAAGTCATGTTAGTTTATATGACCAATTGAAAGAAATTATGTGTGAATGACATTTGAGAGGGCGGCACAATATAGAAAGTCCTATAAAAACAATTTTTATTGTGCCATCTGTGTTTTTCTTTTTCTGTTACTTTTGCAGATTTAATTATGTCAAAATAAACTTTTTCTCTCTTGAAATAAAAAATGCTTGGCCAATTTCCTGCTGGTTCTGATTGCCTGTCACCTTTTAAAGAGATTGGGGAATGCCACAATCACTGGCATAGCAGCACGGGAGTCCTACACAGATCGGATGGGTTTGCTAATTCAAGGAAAACAACAACAACAACAACAACAAGCTTTATTTATATCCTGCCCCCTCTCCCTGAAAAGACTCAGGGTGGCTTACAACAGAAGGAACACAATATAGTAATAGTAAACATACAATCTAATCAAACTTAAATCATACAATAATTTAAGCATAAAAACACCATAATGTTTACAAAACCGATCTTACAGTGGTTTCTACTATATGGCCAAAACAGGATGACAGGTCTATCCAAAGCCAAATATTGAAATAACAGAATCCATCTTGATAAGGCACTCACCTTGGAAATGGGGGCTGTGAGGACTTCATAATATTGGGGAAGATCTTTGCCCAGGGTAAAGCCTGTTGAGAAAAAAAAATGGTGTCAGGTGTGGTTCACTCAAACATCAAAAAGGGAGACATACTACTATTAATCATCTCACAATGAGCCCCCAATGGTGCAATGGGTTAAACCCTTGTGCCGGCAGGACTGAAGACTGAGAGGTCGCAGGTTCAAATATGGGTAGAGTGTGGGTGAGCTCCCTCTGTTAGCTCCAGCTCCTCATGCGGGGACATGAGAGAAGCCTCCCACAAGGATGGTAAAACATCAGAACATCCAGGCGTCCCCTGCGCTACGTCCTTGCAGATGGCCAATTTTCTCACATCACAAGCAACTTGCAATTTCTCAAGTTACTCCTGACATGAAAAAAAAAATGCTGAATAGGACTGAAACTCCAGGTCAATGTGGAAAGAAAGTTGAACCAACTGAACACTATCTCTCCTCTGTCTGGATCAGGGGTCCTCAAACTAAGGCCCAGGGGCCAGATATGACCCTCCAAGGTCATTTACCTGGCCCTTGCCTGGGTCAGCCTAAGTCTGAAACTACTTGAAAGCACAAAACAACAACAACAACAACAAACCTATCTCATCAGCCAAAAGAAGGCCCACACTTTGAAATACTATTAAGTCTGTTAAAATTGTTCTTCATTTCAATTATTCATTTCAAACCCATGGACCTAAGGCTTCCCATGCCTGTCTTAGACAACAAACACTCATAAGTGTAAAGAATGGAACTCAGATGCAGAAGCTATGATATAATGCCTGCATAATTAAGCCAGAAGTTAAGTTACCCACAAATAATTCGAAAGATCGCTGGAGAAACATCTAAGTAAGTAAATAAAGAACAACACTCAAAAAACAGGGAAATTCCAGACAGGAAACAATCAGGGCCAGCTAACACCTCCCAACAAAGGATTCCCCATAGGCAGGAAGCAGCCAGGCTTTGAAGCTGCAAGGCCACTCAAGGTGGCCAATTGCAACATTCACCCTGGCCTCAAACAGACGAGAGTTCTCTTTCTCACCCTGGACATTCCACAGACATATAAACCCCACTTGCCTAGTTTCCAACAGACTTCACAACCTCTGAGGATGCTTGCTATAGATGTGGACAAAACGTCAGAAGAGAATGCTTTTGAAACATGGCCATACAGCCTGGAAAACTTACAGCAAACCATCTAGGTAAGTAGTCATCTTGATTTAAAGCCAGCCAGAACAAAAGATATGTGCTTCCTTCTTACCTGCACGGATCAGGGGTCGTAGGCCTTGCAAAGTTTTGAGCCGTTGAAGCAAGGAGCCTTTGCTGAGCACAGCTAGGTCCACAGGAGAGGTATCAAGCAGAGGATCTATGGCTGACACCAAGCGGCTCATGAAGGCCTCATATTTGGGAAAGGCCTGTAAAGAGAAAGGAATGAGGAAAACGGATGCATGCTGTTCTGCTTGTAGGCTTAACTTCAGACTTTTTGCCAAGTGCCATTTTGAAAAGTAGTAGTAGTAGTAGTAGTAGTAGTAGTAGTAATAAATGGTCCCAGTGGTGTTCGGTACACTGGCTGAAGTGCCTAAAGGCCTTGGCCTGCACCTAAAAACAACTGGAGCTGACAAAATTACCATATGTCAGCTGCAAAAGGCCACCCTACTTGGATCTGCACTTATTATTCACATAGTCCTAGAAATTCACTTGGGAAATGTCCGACATGTGATCAAATACAAAAACCAGCATAGTGATTGTTTGCTGTGTGCTAATCTTGTTGCCTATCAAATATAATAATAATAGCAATAATACTTTATTTCTATCCCACTTCTCTTTCCTAGGGGACTCGAGGCAGCTCATAACATATAACAATAACAATAAACAATAAGCAAACTGAAACAATAAATAAAATGATCAAATAATTTAAATTAAAAACAAACAAACAATAAAACAATTATGTTAAAAGAGCATAAAACATAAGAGCGCGGACTACCGTGGCCTATATATATATATACAAAATTACCATATGTCAGCTGCAAAAAGGCCACCCTTCTTGGATCTGCACATATTATTCACACACACACACACACACACATATATGCAATTCTTTCTTATAATAGGAAACTATTATCACAGACCGGCATCTACCACACTCACTGGGAGCAGCACCCCTGGGCTCTGTTACTCCCGTGTTTACAATGACATTTTACCCACGATACCTGGGCATCCTTTGCAGAGAACTGAGCAATCTGTCTCTGAGTCTCAGCCATGTTGTTTCCCAGCAACAACGAACGGGGAGGTCTCCCACCTTGGCCATCTTCCAGCAACGGGGTGAAGGAATAAGGGTCACGAGGCAGCACTTGTAAACCATGTCTCTGCAAGACAGAAGACAACATGGTTGCTAAGCCTGACTATATGACACACATACACTAGCCAGGCCCTATCCCTCAGTCTTTGGATTTAAGGCAGAACCTTCTATGGACCTTGCGGAGATGATTTTGCTCACACTGGCCTTAGAATGACTCTTCTAATATTTTAAGAAGAAATAATCTGTTGGAAGAGACCTCGTGGGCCATCCAGTCCAACCTCCTGCCAAGAAGCAGGAAAATCACATTCAAAGCACTCCCAACAAATGGCCATCCAGCCTCTGCTTAAAAGCCCCCAAAGAAGGAGCCTCCAGCACACTCCAGGGCAGAGAATTCCACTACTGAACACCTCTCACAGTCAGAAAGTTCTTCCTAATGTTCAGGTGGAATCTCCTTTCTTGTAGTTTGAACCATTGCTCCTAGTCTCCAGGGCAGCAGAAAACAAGCTTGCTCCATCCTCCCTATGACTTCCCCTCACATATTTATACATGGTCCTCGTGGCAGAAAACAAGCTTGCTCCCTCCTCCCTGTGACTTCCTCTCACATATTTATACATGGCTATCATGTCTCCTCTCAGCCTTCTCTTCTTCAGGCTAAACATGCCCAGCTCTTTAAGCCGCTCTTCATAGGGCTTGTTCTTTTTAGTCACCCTCCTCTGGACACATTCCAGCTTGTCAACACTCTTCTTCAATGTGGTGCCCAGAATTGGACACAGTATTCCAGGTGTGGTCTGAACAAGGCAGAATAGAGGGGTAGCATGACTTCCCTGGATCTAGACACTAGACCCTATTTATTTATTTACGACATTTCTACCCCGCCTTTCTCACCCTGGAGAGGATTCAAGGCGGCTTTACATACAGGCAACTATTTGATGCCTTAAAACACAGTATACACTTAAATAAGTATTAAAATAGAATTAAAAAGTACATTAAAACAATTAAAACATTTAAAAACAATACATTCAGAGTTAAACACATAATCCACGAGCTTAATACTGTTGTTGTTGTTGTTGTTGTTGTTGTTGTGTGCTTTCAAGTAATTTCAGACTTAGGTTGACCCTGAGTGAGGGCCGGGTAAATTATCTTGGAGGGCCGTATCCGGACCCTGGGCCTTAGTTTGGGGACCCCTGGTTTAGGGCTTTATAGGCTAAAGCCAGCACTTTGAATTGCGCTCAGTAGCAGATTGGCAGCCAGTGGAGCTGACATAATAGGGGGGGGTTGTATGTTCCCTGCATGCCGCTCCTATAAGCAATCTGGCTGCCACCCGTTGGACCATGTGTAGCTTCCAAACAGTCTTCAAAGGCAGCCCCATGTAGAGTGTGTTGCAGTAGTCTATTTGGGATGTAACCAGAGCATGGACTACTGTGGCCAAGTCTGATGGGAAAGTATTTATGCAGGCCAAAATCCCATTGGCTTTTTTAGCCAAGGGGTGCGGGGTGGGTAATCTCTGTCTGCATAATTCAGAATTTGATAAAGTCTGTCATCAGCCAATCAAGGTTGCAATCCTAAACATATACACCTGGGCCTAAACTCCACTGGATATAAAGTATACATACATCGGTATGCCATTTATTTCCCCGCTCTCAACTAATACCTTCATAAGCCTATGATCTGCTAGTCTGCCTCTTTTTGACAAATGGGATACTCATCAAAGCAGGTCACAGTGCCTGGCTTGAAGATGGTGGCTGTTAATAAGAAAAAAGGGGTCAGTCAAAAGAGACTGATTAGCCTGGAAACTAAGCAAGTTGAAAAGCACGTAGGCAGAGAATCTGGCAAAGGCTTTAGAGGTGCCACCAAAAAAAATATAACAGAATAAAATGGCTAGGCACCAGGTGGGATCCGCACAATTCCTACTGCTCTTTACTCATCCTTCAGCATATCGTTCATACCTTCAACTCCAGCTCTGTGTAAATCTGGGGTCTTAGGAGGCTGAGCAGGTAAGAAGCTCTGGAGAAATGGAAACCTGCAGGACAAGACGGATCAGGTGGGTCATAAAGGTAGAGAGCACACACTGGGTTGTGGGGTGGGAATCAAATGCAGATACAATCTCTTACCTGGGATGATCTCCTCTGTGACAGCAGCACCGCCCACAATGTGCCTTCTCTCCAACACTGCAGTCTTCAACCCCCCCTTTTGCAAGTAGGCAGCCTATAGATGTAGGGGAGGAATGAGCAAACTTGGGCCCTATAGGTGTTTTGGACTTCAACTCCCACCATTCCTAAGAGCCTCAGGCCCTTTCCTTTTCCCCTTCAGCAGCTTAAGCATTATTATCGTGACACTCTGTACTGAGGATTGGAATCCCACCCCCCACTACAAGCTGTAGGGACATGAAACCATGAAGGATGAAACATCGAGTGTGTCACCTCTTCCTGGAACCCTCCATATACTCACAGCCACCAGTCCATTGTGTCCTGCAAAGAGACAGAGAAAGCATAAGAGGCTCTGCTTATGGACAAGTAATCTCCATTGGTGGACCTCGCTGCCATACAAATATCTAAATACAGTATGTTTGAGGTGACTCAACACCCTGTTTTTAAAATAAAAAAATCAACAAATTGATGTTCCTACTGCCACATTACTCAGATATTTGTGTTGCACTTAATTAAAAGTATGGGCCCTTCGACACAGCCCTATATCCCAGAAAAATCCCACATTATCTAAGTGTGGACTCAGATAACCCAGTTCAAAGCAGATATTGTGGGATTTTCTGTCTTACTATTCTGTGATATAGGGCTGTGTGGAATAGTAATAGTAGTAGTAGTAATAATAATAATAATAATAATAATAATAATAATAATAATAATCTTTATTTATACCCCGTCACCATCTCCCCAAAGGGGACTCGGAGCAGCTTACATGAAGCCAAGCCCAGCGATTCATTACAACAACATAAAATATAAACAACAAAATAACATCACAATAAAATAAATAAACCAATCAAGTAAAATAAACAGTGCAAAATAACAGTGGAAAATCAAACACAGTGGACAGACCAAATGCCCGACATAAAATGATAAAACTCTGGAAGAGATAGCAATGAAAAAGGTACATTTGTGGGGGAGGAGCTCGTAGGGGACTGAACAGTGGAATTAGACTTTCAATAAGGTGGGGGAAAGTGCAAAGGTTTCCCCTGAAATTAAGTCCAGTCGTGTCCGACTCTGGGGGATGGTGCTCATCTCCATTTCTAAGCCAAAGAGCTGGTGTTGTCCACAGACACCTCCAAGGTCATGTGGCCAGCATGACTGCACGGAGCGCTGTTACCTTCCTGCTGAAGTGGTATCAATTGATCTAACCACATTTGCATGTTTTCAAACTTCTAGGTTGGCAAAAGCTGAGCCTAAGAGCAGGAGCTCACCCTGCTCCCTGGGTTCGAACTGCCGACCTTTCGGTCAGCAAGTTCAGCAGCTCAGTGGTTTAACCCACTGCACCACCAGGCACTTAATTAGTTATTCCCAAATTAAAAATGGGTAAAGCATTTTTTTCCACAGTCCCCTCCCTCTCTCTCCTGTCTCTTGCTTAAAACCTATCTGCATGGTACAACATAAGGATTTGGACCACAAGTCCCTTGAACTGGAGCCCATCTACACCGACCTCTTAAGCCAGTTTCAAACCACTATTAAAGAAAGTGGTTTTTCTGTGCAGATGACTGCACAGGAAATCCTGGAACCAGTTTGAGACCTGCTGTGAGTACACAAACCAGAGAACTGATGTCTGTCAAGGGATTTATTTCTCACAACAACGTGTTAGGGCCCTTCCACACAGCCCTATATCCCAGAATATCAAGGCAGAAAATCCACATTATCTGAGTGTGGACTCAGATAACCCAGTTCAAAGCAGATATCGTGGGATTTTCTGCCTTAATATTCTGGGATATACGGCTGTGTGGAAGGTCCCTTAGAGCTACAGTTTGAAGTATGCTTCAAACTGCATTAAATAGTCAGTGTAGATGGTCAACAAATCTCTGAGTTGCCGCACTATTATTCCACCTTAACTGCAGTGACAGTATTCTTTAAAATACTGGGGTTTACAGTTTATTGAGACCCAGGCCCCTTCCACACAGCTGTATAACCCAGAATATCAAGGCAGATAACTGACAATATATGCTTTGAACTGAGTTATCTGAGTCCACACTGACATATATTCCAGTTCAAAGCAGGAAATTTGGAATATTATTCAGCTGTGTGGAAGGGGCCCCAGAAAATACTGTAACTTTTCAAACTGTGATATCCAATTTAGGCACCCTTTTACACTGCCAGATAATCCAAATTATTAATACAAATAATCCACATTATCTGCTTTGAACTGGATTATGTGAGTAAACATTGCCATATAATCCTGTTCAAAGCAGATAATCTGGATTGTATATGGCAGTGTAAAAGGGGCCCCAGTGTACCTATAAATTGTCCTGATCTTCCTCCTCCTCAAAGCTTGCATCTACATTGTAGCACGTTTAATGACACAAAGTGTTTAAATATATCCTTTAATTTGTAATACTCATATCTAAATGCATTTGTGTTGCTTTAATTTGATTGTGTCATATTTGTTTTAAACTACCTTAAATCCCTATATATTGGGAGAAAGATGAGCTAAAGATAAAGTAGATTAAATAATAAAAAACAAATAATAGAATTCAAAGGCACGGTCATGTTAATCTGTAAAATCAATATGGCAAAGAATCTTGCAGCATTTTAGTGCAGGCCAGGGCAAACTTCGGAACTCCAGGTGTTTTGAACTCCAATTCCCACAATTCCTAACAGACTACTGGCTGGAGGGCCAAAGTCTAAAACAGGCCAGGGCAAACTTTGACCCTCCAGGTGTTTTGGACTCCAACTCCCATAATTCCTAATAGCCTACTGAACTATAATTCTGTGGCACAGTGGGCAAAACCGCTGAGCTGCTAATCTTGTTGACCAAACAGTCACAGGTTCGAATCCGGGAAGTGAACTTCTGCTGTCAGCCCAGCTTCTGCCAACCTAGCAGTTCAAAAACATGCAAATGTGAGTAGATCAATAGGTACTGCTCCGGCGGGAAGGTAACAGTGCTCCATGCAGTCATGCTTGCCACATGACCTTGGAGGTGTCTATGGACAATGCCGGCTCTTCGGCTTAAAAATGGAGATGTGAACCAACCCCCAGAGTTGGACACGACTGGACTTAATATCAGGGAAAAACCTTTACCTTGACCTGTTAGGAATTGTGGGAGTTGGAATTCCAAAACACCTGGAGGGCCAAAGTTTGCCCAGGCCTGCTTTAAAGATTAAATACAAAGTTGGCAGCATAAGCCTTTGCAGACTAGTAAGGGTCCATCTACATTGTAGAATCAGTGCAATGTGACCCCACTTTAACTGCAGTGACTTGTAGAACCATAGGACTTGTAGATCCATAACTGGTATGGGAAAACTTGCTTCCCTCCAGGCGTTTTGGACTTCAACTCCCACAGCCGATCTGATCCATAAGATCCATAAGGAAGGCGGTGCCTGTGCCAGCCTCCCTTCTTGGGAAAGCCTCGGAGACCCACCTGCCCCAATCACAATGGCGTCGTACTCCCGCTGCAGGGCGGCTTCAGCCCCCGAGTGGGACGCCCTACGGCAGCCCCAGAAGGGAAAGGGGGCTCCACCCGAGGCCCCCAACCTCCCGAGGCACCTGGCCGCCATCTGACGTTCAAAGTTTGCGCGTGGCTCCTTCCAACGCAGTCCCAGGGAGGCGGGTCTGTGTGGGGGGACGGGTTTGAGGCGGTCCCTGGGCCTCCCGAGGAAGGAGAAAAGGAAGGAAGGAAGGAATGGAGGGAGGGAGGGAGCACAGAGAGGAGCCAAGCAGAGTCCTTGCTTGCTCTTCGGAGAAGAGGAGGCGCACTTCTGATTCGCTGGCTCAGCACCTCCCCATTTATGTATTCATTCACGGCACGGGATTGCTGTAAATTGTAGATTTCTGGGGGTCGGTAGAATTCAAAACTATTGCTGGGTGGCATATCAGTATGCAAAGGAATCTTATTTTATAGCAAGCATGGGCAAACTTCGGGTCTCCAAGTGTTTTGGACTTTCAACTCCCACAATTCCTAATACCTGTTATTTGTTGTTGTTGTTGTTCATTCGTTCAGTCGTGTCCGACTCTTCGTGACTTCGTGAACCAGTCCACGCCAGAGCTCCCTGTCGGTCGTCACAACCCCCAGCTCATTCAAGTTCAAGCCAGTCACTTCAAGGATACCATCCATGCATCTTCCCCTTGGTCAGCGCCTCTTCCTTTTTTCCTTCCATTTTCCACAGCATCATTGTCTTCTTTAAGCTTTCCTTTCTTCTCATGATGTGGCCAAAGTACTTCATCTTTGCCCCTACTATTCTTCCCTCCAATGAGCAGTCAGGCTTTATTTCTTGAAGTATGGACTGGTTGGATCTTCTAGCTGTCCAAGGCACTCTCTGAACTTTCCTCCAGTTCTGAGAGTGCCTTGGACAGCGAGAAGATCCAACCTATTATTATTATTATTATTATTATTATTATTATTATTATGTTATTTGAAACATAACAAGATGAGTCCACAGCAGACACTCTGCTGGCTGTTGAACTGGATCACACGTCGGACACTTCCCAAATGTCTAGGACTGTGTGTTGTATCGGCGAATAATGCGCACAAATCCCAGTAAGGTGGCCTTCTGCAGCTGGCAGATGGTAATTTTGTCAGCGCCAATTGTGTTTAAGTGCAGGCCAAGGTCTTTAGGCACTGCACCCAGTGTGCCGATCACCATTGGGACCACCTTTACTGGCTTGTGCCAGAGTCTTTGCAGTTCAATCTTTAAATCCTCATATCGTGTCAGCTTTTCCAGTTGTTTCTGCAATCCTGCTGTCACCGGGGATTGCAACATCGATGATCCATACTTTGTTTTTTAACATGATTTTGAGGAGTATTGTGCTCCAAAACTCTTGTCTGTCTGAATCTGGAAGTCCCAGAGGAGTTTGGCATGTTCATTCTCTGTAACTCTTTCCGGTTTCTAATCCCACCAGTTCTTTGTCGCAGACAGATGGTATTTGTGGCACAAGTTCCAATGAATAATCTGAGCAATGTGTTGTCTCTGTCGTCACTTTCAATTCTGGTTGATGGCTTGGTTCGAATGGCTTGTTCTTGGGCTGCCAGAATCAGGCCCTCCTTTGTCTCCTTTTTCAGAGTTCCATTTGTGAGCCACAGCCATGTTTTTTCTTTATCAATTTGGCTCTCAGTTTTTCCCAGGAACTGTCCATGGAGAGCCTTCTTTTGTCAGTTTTCTCTTTTGCTCTGGATTGTGTTTTTACGGTATTCCCTCTTTGTCTTTTGCACTTTAAGCAGTTTACTACTATTGTTGGTTCTTGACTGCCTTTCACATAATCTGCCAGTGCATGTTTCTCTTCTTCTATCGTATGTTTCACTTGCATAAGCCCTCTGCCTCCTGATTTCCTGGACAGGTAAAGTCTGTCGACATCATTATGTGGATGTAATGCGTAGTGGATTGTCATCAGTTTTCTTGTTTTTCTATCCAGATCATCCAGCTCTGCTTGTATCCAGTTCACAATCCCACCACTTATTATTATTATTTATTTATTTATCGTGTCATCAGCAACCATACCATTATTATTATTATTAACAGTATTTATATTCCGCCCTTCTCATCAGTATTTATATTCTGCCCTTCTAACTGGACATGACGGCTCTTCAGCAGATTACTGCAGCTGTCATCCTTTCCAGCTGGAACAGAAATAAATACTTCAATGGCTTCTGTTTCAACTTGGTGAGATTTATTCTGGAATATTGGCTTCTCTTTTCTCCCCAGGCTCAACCCACAGTGGCTTGGATCTCACTATCAACAGCCATTCTAAATTGCTTGACAACAATATGAAGCAAAACCATGTTTAAGATCACAGACAAGAGTACTGCTGTGCTAATGGTGCTTCATGGGCCAGGTTTTATCTGGAATCAACTTTGCAGTCTATTTTCTCTGTGAAGGATCTTAGAAATCTGTGAAAGACTAACTTGGTGTTCACTGAGCTGGTAAATCTCTGTCTGGACTGAGGGAGGTTCAAACATTCACAGTGGTCTGTTCTTCAAGAGAGGTTCAAACATTCACAGAAAAGGGTAAGCATGAAAAATATGCCAGGCAGAAGGTAATCTAGGCGAGTCTGCACTGCATACATTTAGGTACTGCTCCCACATGCACAACATGAAAAAAAAATGATCTTACATTGCAACTATGCATATTGATTGTTGTGTACCTTGGTTTGAGGTTGGACTTCAACCAGGATTCAATTTCCCACTTGTCCATGGAAATCCACTGGGAGACCTTGGATGAGTCACACAATCTTAGCCCCTAAGTCCTCCAAAACAAACATTTCCTACAGTCTTCTAAAGGCATACACCTATTCCTACTGAAGTCTCAACTGAATGTCTAATGGCTTCTACCTTTCTAAAATGGAGTCTGAGTCCTGAAAAAGCCCAGTTCACATGGTCTGCAAAGAGTTACAGTAAAATTGCATACCAATATACATATATAGTACAGTAAGCAATTATATGCATAACAAATAACTAGTGTAGGCTTGAGAAGGTTGCTATTTCCAACAGCCTCAAAAGTGTGTCACCCACATGAAACATTTGGATACATCTATTCTTTAAATCCTCCCCTATTTGCGTTACAAAATAACATCACACAAAGGAGCCTGTGTGAGTTGAATGAATTGTTGATTGAATGTTTATTCTCAATCATATTTGGATATTACTGTATATTGACTTTATGTTTTTTTTAGGTTTTGGTATATTTTGTTCTACGACACCATTTGATCTTGGGGAAGTGGCATACAAATATTAAAAATTGTAGTAATATTATTTAATATTCAATGAAACTGATGTGATACTTTTAGGCAACCACAAGAAATATTAAATACTAGCTTGGGGACCCAGCGTTGCCCGGGTTATTAGAGAAAGTGGGTAATGGTGGTTCTGTATGCCAAGTTTGGTCTTTATTGGTCTTTGGATAACGGCTGCATTATTTTCAGGAAGTGAGTGAAGGTACTTGAAGTCCCATCATCCATGGGCCATCCTCCTACAAACAGCAGCAGGATATAGAGTGGGTCATGGGGGCTCTGTGTGCCAAGTTTGGTCTTTATCAGTCATTAGATGAGGGTGGCAGTGGTGTCAGTAAGTGAGTGAAGGTACTGCAAGTCCCATCATCCAAAGTCCATCCCCTTTCAAACTGCAGCAGGATGTAGAGGGGATCATGGGGGCTCTGTGTGCCAAGTGTGGTCTTGATTGGTCATTAGAAGAGGGTTGCAGCAATCTTTGGAAGGGAGTGGAGGTACTTGAAGTCCCATCATCCATGGTCTGTCCTCCTCCAAACTGCAGCAGGATGTAGAGTGGGTCATTGGAGCTCCATGTGCCAAGTTTAGTCTTGATTAGTCATTGGCGAGGGTCTCAGTGGTCTCAGAAAGTGAGCAAAGGTACTGCAAGTCCCATCATCCATCTCCAAAGTTTTCCAAATAACACCAGGACGTAAAGTGGGTCATGAGAGGTCTATGTGCCAAGTTTGGTCTTGATCCGTCATTGGATGAGGTTTGCAGAGGTCTCAGAATGTGAGTGAAGGTACTGGAAGTTCCATCATCCATGGTCCACCCTTCTCCAAAACTGCAGCAGGATGTAGAGTGGGTCATGGGGGCTCTGTGTGCCAACTTTGGTCTTGATGGGTCATTAGATGAGTTTTGCAGCAGTCTTGGGTAGTGAAGGTACTTGAAGTCCCATCATCCATGGTCTGTCGTCCTCCAAACTGCTCCAGGATGTAGAGTGGGTCATTGAAGCTCCATGTGCCAAGTTTAGTCTTGATGAGTCATTGGCGAGTCTCAGTGGTCTCAGGAAGTGAGTGAAGTGACTGCAAGTCCCATCATCCATTGTCAAATTCTTCCAAACCGCACCAGGATGTAGAGAGAGTTATTCAGGCTCTCTGTGTAAATTGTGGTACTGATCCATCATCGTTGGCAGTTGTAATGGTCTTAGGAAGGGAGTGCAGGTATTGCAAGTCCCATCGTCCATGGTGCATCCTCCTTCAAACTGCACCTGGATGTAGAGTGCGTCATGGAGACTCAGTGTGCCAAGTTTGGTATTTATTGGTAATTGGATGAGGGTTGCAGTGGTCTGAAGAATTGAGCAATGGTACTGCAAGTCCCATAATCCACGGTCCATCCCCGGCCAAACCACACCAGGACGTAAAGTGGGTCATGAGAGGTCTATGTGCGAAGTTTGGTCCTGATCAGTCATTGGATAAGGTTAACAGCGGTCTCAGAATGTGAGTGGTGGTACTGCAAGTCCCATCATCCATGGTTCATACTCCTCCAAACTGCAGTAGGATGTAGAGTGGGTGATGGGGGCTCTGTGTGCCTATTTCGGTCTGTATTGGTAGTGTTCTGACCCAGCCCCCGGCCTTTCCTTTCCTCTCTTTGTCATCTCGGAATGTTGGATTTGAGGCTGGCCAATCAGAGACCATATGCAAATTTCCTTCTGTCATGCCCCGTTTCTGCCATGAACCCTCTTCTCCACCAGGGGCTCCTATTGAAGCTGGCCAATCAGAGACCATATGCAAATAGCACCACAGCGGCAGCCAATCAGAACGCTGCCACATACACCTTCCGCCCTCCGCACCTCTGTCCGATACAAACAAACACTCTTCTTTATTATATACTAGCTTGGGGACCCGGCGTTGCCCGGGTTATTAGAGAAAGTGGGTAATGGCGGTTCTGTATGCCAAGTTTGGTCTTTATTGGTCTTTGGATAATGGCTGCATTATTTTCAGGAAGTGAGTGAAGGTACTTGAAGTCCCATCATCCATGGGCCATCCTCCTACAAACAGCAGCAGGATATAGAGTGGGTCATGGGGGCTCTGTGTGCCAAGTTTGGTCTTTATCAGTCATTAGATGAGGGTGGCAGTGGTGTCAGTAAGTGAGTGAAGGTACTGCAAGTCCCAGCATCCAAAGTCCATCCCCTTTCAAACTGCAGCAGGATGTAGAGTGGATCATGGGGGCTCTGTGTGCCAAGTTTGGTCTTGATTGGTCATTAGAAGAGGGTTGCAGCAATCTTTGGAAGGGAGTGGAGGTACTTGAAGTCCCATCATCCATGGTCTGTCCTCCTCCAAACTGCAGCAGGATGTAGAGTGGGTCATTGGAGCTGCATGTGGCAAGTTTAGTCTTGATGAGTCATTGGCGAGGGTCTCAGTGGTCTCAGGAAGTGAGCAAAGGTACTGCAAGTCCCATCATCCATCTCCAAATTTTTCCAAACAACACCAGGACGTAAAGTGGGTCATGAGAGGTCTATCTGCCAAGTTTGGTCCTGATCCGTCATTGGATGAGGTTTTCAGAGGTCTGAGAATGTGAGTGA